GACTGATGAGCTATAAATTGGAGATTTCTATGTCCCCATTTTTGGATTCAATTAATTTGCTAGGACGGTTCATAAGAACTCAGAGAAACATTTACTTACGTGTACCAGTTTATTACAAAATAATGTAATTCAGGAGAGGTCACATGGAATAAACCCATTGGGCAAGGAATGTGGGAATGAGCAGGGAGCTTCTATGCCCTGCTCCAGGAGTGCCAGTCTTCCCAAATCTCCATGTGCCCATCACCCCAGCACCTCTGCGAACCTGGAACGCTGCCTTTTGCTTCTTAACGAAGACTCCATTACATAGGTATGACTGATTAAATCATTGGCCATTGGTGATTGAACACAATCACCAGCTCATCTCCCCACTCCAAGACGGGGGTGGGGGGGTGGAATGAGACCGAGAATTCCAACTCTGTAATCACAGCTGTTGCGTCCCCTGGCAGCCAGCCCGTCCTTTGGTCACCTAGGAGCTTTTCAAAAGTCACTTGATTTACATAAAATAAGGTACTTTCTATCTATCTTCATCACTTAGGAAATTCCAAGGGTTTTAGGAGCTCTGAGGCAGGAATGGGACAAAGAACGAACAATGGAATTATTATTATAAATCATGATATCACAGTTCGTTATTCAGTGATTCTGTTATGCCATTCATTTCATTATGTCTACTTCATCACTTTCATACCATTTCTTTTCTATGTTGTATGGCCAATATTTTCACTTATTTCCTTATACATATTGATTATACTTATTTTTATATTTATTTTAGAGAAGGGGAAGAGAGGGAGAAAAAGAGGCAGAGAAGAAACATTGATGTAAGAGAGGAACATCGATCTGTTGCCTCTTGTACATACCCTGACTGGGGAATTAACCCACAACCAAGGCATGTGCCCTGACTTGGAATGGAGCTGGTGACCCTTTGATTTTTGAGATGATACCCAACCCACTGAGCCACACCAGCCAGGGCTGATTATGCTTATTTAGGTTACTGCTCAGTCCCTTCTAGTCATTCTGCAGTGGTGGATATTTATTTCTGTCCCGGTGGCTCTGCAGTGATGGAAGTGCTCAGTCAGCCCTCCCCTCATCTCATTTGTGAGCTCCCCCTCCCTGGGGGTGCTGGGCTGTAACTGGCTGCCTCAGCCTGGCCCTGCTCTGTGTCCCTCCCAGTGAGACAAAATAGGGGCAAAAAGATGAATCCTTACGAGAAGCATCCTGAGACCCAGAGACCGAGGGATAAGGACGATTGGCACCATGAGCTGCCACCCATCAGGAAACTGGTTGTTGGGGAAAGGCAGCCCCTGAAGGAGGCACACTGTTGGTGGACATACAACCCTGGGCATGGGGGTGGGGGGAGAAGTTCTCGGAGGGAACGTCTGAGAAGGCTCTGCGTGGACTTGTGTTCCAATTGCCGTGGCTCGGCAGCAGGCGCTCGCTATGCAACATAAACAAGGTCATTCTGTTGTGAGATGCAAATACCACTCCAAAATCTTATCTGGACTCAGGCAAATATGTCACTCTGAGAACCGCAGAAATGAAAACGTGCCCCCCTCCTGGCTGACAGGAGCATCTGTTGCTCCTTTACAACAGTCAGCTTTGCCTCGTTCCATTTCTCTCTCCTCTTTGAGTAACTGTATTCAGACAACTCAGTTACAGAATTCTCTCAGCTTCTGAACAGGATCCTATGCAGCACAGATGTCTGTTTCTTAAAACTCCCTCCCAAATCACCTAACACATGGCCAAGTCTCATACAAATCCTCCTGACCAACTGCTCCTGGGAGGTCATAGGGTTTGCCATCGTGTGCAATGTCCCTGCGTATAAGTGTGACATTTAAATAAACTAAAAGGAAGCAAATGAACTTTGACAATAGGCACATTTGTGGTGGCTTTTGCCTGGTGGACCTGGGCATTTCCCATTTACAATCATTGTCTCACTCATAGTTTCTCTATGGAAAAGAGAAGGGGGTTCAAAATCTCATTTGATAGGTGTAAAAACTGAGGCCCAGTCAAAATATGTGGTTTGTCTAAACTCACAGTTATGAGGCCAAACCAAGCCTTGTGATTCTAAATCTGCCTCCCAAAAGGACCACCCAGAAGCCCTGCTTCTCAAGAAGTCATCTTGGGGGCAGCGCAGTCACCTTGGGGGCAGCGCAGGACCTGGCAGGGTGGCAGGGTGGGCTGCATGCCACACACTCTGAGTGTGGGCCAGGAAGGGCAGACCACAGCACGACCGAGGCAGTGGAACCCTGCTGCACAGATGAGCTAATCGAACTGAAGGAGATGGGACTTGGCCAAGGCCGCAGAGCTGGGAAGTGGCAGAGGTGGGACTCCAACCCCAGAAAGAGGAAAGGGGGCACAGAGGGGCAGCCAGTTTTTCCTCAGGACAGATAGTAGGTGGAGTGGATGCTGGAGTGGAGGAGATTCTGGGAAGGATGGGAGGGGCCTTATAAGTTCCAGAACAAATGTACGTAGTGGCCTGATCTCTGAGGTAGAGGGCAGAGTGGGTGGGTAACCAGGAGCTGATGCAAGTGGAGAGTGGTATCTTGTGATGGGAAAGGCCTGCAGGAGACTCTGGAGAGCAGAAGGGGCTTGGAGCTGGGGAGCACCCAGAGCACTGGCTTTCCCCTTCCCAGCCTAGTTCCAGGAAATGTCAGGTCTGCAGGGCAGCTTCCTGACCTCTGGACTCAGTATTCAATAGAAACAAACACTGCCATCAAAGCCAGGCCTGGCAATGTGACCTGCATCCAGCGACCTTATTTCATCTCCTGCCACTTTGGAATAACAGCCATGGGAAGGTTAGGCTGCTAAAGGGTAGGGAAGAGAGATGAACACGTTGTCCATAGATGTTCTAGGTCCTGGATCCCCTGGTCTCTGTCATTGGCTTCAGGAATGTGGTTCTACCCTCCTGGACATTTTTCAGATACAGGGGATGGGTCAGCAGGAAGTAAGGAGACCTGGCCCTCCACAGCCAAGGACAGTTAATTGAAAGGAAGCTAGAAGGGACTCTCATCCATCGACATTCCTTCTATTGTCTGGGGGGCTCTATGCCTTGCCCACCATGTGGCTCTGTGACTTCTGTAAGACACTTCCATGATGGGCTCCCTCACCAGCTCAGGCTGACACGACATTTTATGACAGCTCTACTAGAAATGTTATTTAGAATTCACTTCACTGTGCTTCACAAAGTTATTGTTCCATTCCATCTAGATTGTGTCTCTTGACTACCATCACCTGGTTCAAGCCCTTCACCCACAAGACACTTGTTATCCCTGCCACAGTTGGTGTTTGGCCTTCATTTCCTATCCTGGCTAAATGGTACCTAAATATTCAAGTCAGAAACTTGTGAGTGCACAAAAACCTCTTCTTTTGTTTACCATTTTATACCCAACCAGTTCCCAAGTTCCCTCAAATGGACCTTGTACATGTTCTCCAATGTATCCACCTTCTTGACCTCTACCATCATCCTAATTCTGGCCACCATCACCTGCTGCTTAAGTGATAGTAAGTACCTCTCTGCAGGTCTGATTTTTTTCATACCTGTTCCCCTCCAATTCTTCTCCACACTGTGGTCAGAACAATCTGTGAAAATTGAAATCTGACCATCTCTCTTCTGTTGAAATTCCTCCAGTGATCCTTTAGAAGAGACCCAAAGTATAAAAGTTATAATCCTGTTGTCAATCTGCTCATGCCTCATGTCTCTCCACCTGGATCTCACACTGTACACCCAGTCGGGCCGGATAGTATTATCACTGGGCCCTGGCCTTCTCTGTCTCCCATTTAAGCCAGTGCAAGGACTATTCACAGCGTGAGATTTGAACAAAGCTCTTAAGGAAGAAAGAATAGTGTTTGGAACCTCTGCAACCTCAAGAGTCCTTTTGGAAAAAATTTTTAAAAATGCATTTCACACATAAGTGGAAAAAATAGTAAAGAAAGTTCTCATGTATCCTTCACCCATTATCCACCAATAATAAAATCAAAGATACCACAGAATAAGTATCAAAACCAGGAAATTGACCCTGGAACAATACAACAATAAGATACAGATCTTATTTGGACTTAACCATTATTAACCTGCATTCCTTTTTTTTCTTGGTGTGTAGTTCTATGAAATTTGTTTCACAATTGTGGATTTGTGTAATGACCACAATTAAGATACAGAACTATTCCACACCCCAGTGAAGCTTGCCCAAGCTATACATTTAGGGTTACATCATCCCCATAGCTCCGACTCCCACCATCTACCTGTTCTCTATTGTATTTTGCCAGTTCAAGAATACTATATAAAAAACATACTATTTGTACATTTTTAGGTTATATTTATTTTATTCAACCTAATGCCTTTGAGAGTTATTCAAGCTATTTTATAAATCAATAGTCTGGGTTTTTTTTTTCTGTGAGTTTTCTACAAATTATATATCCATTCACTTGTTGAAAGACAATTGGGTTATTATTGGCTCTTAAAAATAAAGCTTCCATAATGTGTTATTTAAATATAATGGAATATTATTTAGTCTTAAAAAGGAAGAAAATTCTTATATATGCTGCAGCATAGATGAACTCTAAAGACATTATACGAAGAGAAACAAGCAAGGCACAAAAAGACAAATATGAGATTCCACTACCATAAGGTACCCAAAGTAGTCAACGTCATAGATACAGAAGTTGAACAGTAGTAATTAGGGACTGATGGGTGAGGGTAGAGATTGGAAATCAGTGTTCAACGAGCACAGAGTTTCAGCTAGGGATGCTGAAAATTCTGGAGATGATGGGTAGTAATGGCTGCACAACAATGTAAATGTACTTAATGCTGCTGAATTGTACACCTAATGCTGGTCAAAATGGTAAATATTATATATATTTTGCCGCAATAAAAAATGGACAGCAATTTGAATGATGATTTGTGCTGTATTAAAAGTACATGGCTACTGAGCACTGTGCCAACAAGAGTTGTTTATTAATCTGAGGTTGAAGGCCAGGCCGGTGTATTTAAGTTCAAGGGTGGATTGGACCCTGAAGTTTTGGAGTCCAGCCTCCTTCCCCATCCTGACAGGCACATGCTAGAGCCTCTGGCTGGAGGACCAGCTTCACTATCTTCATATCCCTGTAAGTTCTTGCTGGTGAATGCTTCTAGGGTCCTGATTTTGTCTAGGAACTTGACTTGCCCTTGGAGGCCTAGAGGAGGCTTTCTGAAAGGTGGCAGTGGGGAGACAGCTGACAGGAGCTCTGCAGGGGTGTCTCTTGCTCTGCTCATGCTGGGGCACCTGTGACTTTCCTGGGTTTACCTGACCATTTGCAAAGGAGACCACTTCCATTTTCAAAGACAGCCACAAAGAATTAGAAAGATAGCCACAGAACTGGTCTACTGAGATTTCTTGAGAAATGAGAGTTTGAAAAAGAACATTGAAGGACACATGAAATGCTAAGATTGAGAAGTGGGAAGGGAAGTTAAGAAAGTTGGTAATCACCAGTATTTTTCTTTCCTATAAAGTATTTTTATTGATTATGCTATTACAGCTTTCTTAATTGTCTCCCCTTTATCTCCCTTCTGCCCTGCACCTCCAACCCTCCAGCATTCACCCTCCCCCTTAGTTCATGTTCATGGGTTGTACATATAAGTTCTTTGAACTCTCTGTTTCCTACATCATTTTTACCTTTCCCCATCTATTGTATGCCTACTAATAATGTTTCTTCCTGTACCTTTTCCCTCCTATTCCTCCCCCCCCCACTGAAATCCCTCCATGTGATGTCCATTTCCCTGATTCTGTTCCTGTTCTAGTTGTTTGCTTACTTTTTATTTTTATTGTTTGTCTTTTCTTTTAGATTCATTTGTTGAAAGTTGTGAGTTTGTTGTCATTTTATTGTTAACATTTTTTATCTTCTTTTTCTTAGATAAGTTCCTTTAACAGGTCATATAATAAGGACTTGGTGATGATGAACTCCTTCAACTTGACCTTATCTGGGAAGCACTTTATCTGCTCTTCCATTCTAAATGAAAGCTTTGCTGGGTAGAGCAATCTTGGATGTAGGTCCTTGCCTTTCATGACTTGGGATACTTCTTTCTAGCCCCTTCTTGCCTGCAAGGTTTCTTTTGAGAAATAAACTGATAACCCTATAGGAACTCCTTTGTAGGTAACTGTCTCCTTTTCTCTTGCTGCTTTTAAGATTATTTCCTTATCCTTAATCTTGGGTAACTTAATAATGATGTGCTTTGGTGTGTTCCTCTCTGGGTCCAACTTCTTTGGGACTCTCTGAGCTTTCTCAACTTTTTGAAAGTCTACTTCCTTCACCAGATTGGGGAAGTTTTTCTTCGTTATTTGTTCAAATAAGTTTTCAGTTTTTTGCTGTTGTTGTTCTCCTTCTAGCACTCCTATAATTCAGATATTGGAACATTTCAGATTGTCCCAGAGTTTGTAAGCCTCTCTTCACTTTTTTGAATTCTTGTTTCTTCATTCTGTTCCAGTTGAATGTTTATTTTCCTTTTTTGTTCCAAATCATTGCTTTGAGTTCTGGTTTCCTTCTTGTCACTGTTGGTTCCCTGAATATTTTGCTTTATTTTATTTTGGGTATTTTTCATTTGTTTTTTTGTTTTTCAACCAAGCTCAATCAGTTCTGTGAGCATTTTGATTACTAGGGATCTAAATTCTCCATCAGATAGGTTGGCTATCTCCTTGTTGCTTAGCTCTCTCTCTGAAGTTTTGTTCTGTTCTTTCATTTGGGCCATATTTCTTTGTCTTGGCACACCAGTCTAGTTGTTCTGGTTGATTTTTTCTTTAATAGCTTGGTTGTTGGAGTTTCATGCAGTTTGATTCTGGCACTTCTGATTGTTTATTGATTTTAGATTGATTGCTATCTTCCTTTTGGTTGTATGAGGAAGTGAAGTGTTTCTACCTATGCCTCCATCTTGGCTGGAATTCCACTCTAATCACCAGTATTTTTGACTCACAGAACACAGGAAATTTCTGCCAGGAACTGGAGAGGGAACTGGCACCCTTCCAGGGACAAGTTAGTAAAAACTTCCTAGAGAAAGCACGACCCTTGGTAAGTCTCTCTTGCAGTGGTAGATAAAACTTCCAGAGGAAGCAAACCCAAGTTGATTCTGGGCTGGGTTAGTGACTAGTTATGACTCTTCCTCTTTTGGATTCCCCAGCATGCAGCTTAGTGCCTGCCATTGAGTCAATGCTGGTTAACTGGCCCTGAAGGACAATCTTCTACCCAGATGTGAGGATGGGATGCAGGTGGCAGATGGGCCCAAAGGGGAGAGGTGGGGGATGAGGGAGCTCCTACAAATTCCTGGGTCTCCATTTACTTCCACTCCCTAAGCCAACAGGCATGAGTGTGCTGGCAGTGTAGGCCCATTTTCTTTCATAAATGACACGGTAAGCATTCTTACAGCCTTCTAGTGGTAATGACAGAAGTCTGAGGCACTTGTGACACCCTCCCTAGAGACCCCACTGCACATTGTGCCTACCTGCGTTAAAGTACTAACCGCACTATATCAAAAGGAAGATATAGTTTCTGAAAGCCCCAGCCTGGAGGCAAGAATGGGGGGGGGGGTCATCCATCTCTGCATCATCTCTGCACAGTCCGGGTTAGAGGACAGGAAATGTTTTGTAAACACATGTTGATTAACTGAGCAAAATGAGATCATCTTCCTTGACTTTCCACACACCAAGGTGAGGACGATGTCTCTGTTTCCATCGCTCTCTCTTCTTCTCCTGAGTGTGGTGACAGCATCTTGCTCAGAAACAGAACCCTTGGAGAGCCCCCAGAAGACCTGCCTTGTGAATACCTGTGGTTGTCCAGGCATGAACGGCTTCCCAGGCAAAGATGGGCGTGACGGCGCTAAGGGAGAAAAGGGAGAACCAGGTACAGCTGGGGCTGTTTTACCTCTGTGACTTGACCTTCCAGACAAAGTGCCTGGGGATGAAAGAGCACTGTTCTATTTATACAAGTTGCATTTCTCTCAACTACACATTATAATTCCAAACAGATACACCTCTGACTCTCTGGCACCCCAGTCTTCCACACAGGAGTAGGCAACAGGTGGTTGTCCCAGCTGCTCAGGGAGTTGGTCTCGTGACAGGCCATCCTGAGGGATGTCGGAGGATTTTCTTCTCTGGGTCAGTGGAAGTAGTGATTCAGGAAGTTGGTCCTGGATTAATGTCTCTTTTCTCCTGGGAAGGGATTGAACATCAAACTCTTGGAGAAATAAAGCAAAAACACGTATACTAATGGACAGTTCTTTCATCTTCCAATAGGCCAAGGGCTCAGAGGTGTGCAGGGTCCTCCTGGAAAGTTGGGGCCTCCAGGAAACCCAGGGCCCCCTGGGTTACCAGGAAGAGTGGGCCAAAAAGGAGACCCTGGGAAATGTCCAGGTAAGAAGCTAACCTCAACTACTGCGTTGAGGGCATCCAGTGTCCTGTGACTTTTAGTTCCAGGTGGGAGATGCCCTTAATCCCACTGCTTCACAGAAAGATACCCAACTCTGCTTCCTGACCCAGCACTCTCAGCTCTGTCTAGGGAATTCCTACCAGTTCCTGAGTACAGACTTGCAGATCCTCCGGGCCCACTTCCTCACCAGGCACCCTCTGAAAGAGCTGGGCCCTCGCTTTCCTTTAGTTGACACAATGCAAGGATGTGGTCCAAAAGGGAAAAAATAGACCACCTATGTGCTGAGTTTATTATGTCTGTTTTCACAACAGCAGTCTATGCATAGTGTGTCAGTTATCCTTCACTTCATGAAGAAAAAAAAAGCCATTTATTTAAAGCACAATTCTGTGAATCTGCCAAGTGAATTCTCAGCTGGACCCACTCTTGTGTCTGTGGTCAGCTGATGACCAATGGTCCCACTTACATTTGGCTTTTGTTTACTTGTTGGCTGGAGTGATGAGGGTAACTGACCCACAGGTCTCTCATCCTCCAACAGGCCAACCCAGCTTGTTTGCATAGAATTCACTGCAAGATTCCCAATGTACACTATTGCTTCTGTCGCATTCTATTGGTAAAACAAGTCACAAGGCCAGCCCAGATACGGGGTGTGGGGAAATAGACTCCCTTTCTTAATTAGAGAAGCTGCCCCATGTTGAGGCCATGTTTGCCATCTATTACACATGGCCTGCCTCACACCCTCCCCCTTGAAAAATGTGCAGCTCACAAATATCTTAGATTACTGATTAATAGGACAAACTGGAAAAAATAAACAAACAACAACAACAAAAATGAAATCTCCTTAAAGACAAAACCTAGCAATCTTTTTAGTCAAGACTCACCAGCACGTAATAATTCCCCAAGAAATTTTTTTTTATTCATGATAGAGCTGTTGACTTGAAAAACAATTAATGAGTACCTGGGGTATGGGGTACCCCTAGCCTGTCATGGCTAGGTCATTGGGGAGCACACGTGTGTTTGTGTGTGTGTGTGTGTGTGTGTGTGTGCGCGAAGGGCCTTTAAGTACTTTCAACAGATGTGGAGTGATGTTTTGGGCTAGGTAGAAATAGCAGTACTTTTCCTTCTTTTCTTCTTAATGCTTTTTATTTCCCTCCAAAGAACAAATATCCATGTATAAGAATATTTTCTTAATTTTGAAAAAAGCATCCTACCCATTTATAGTTGTGAAATCCCTCCCCAGTGTTCTTTCACTGCTTTAATCTTCCAGTTTGTGATAACCACATGGCTGCTGCAGAAAGAGAAGCTCTGCGGTCGGAAATGAACCAGCTCAAAAAGAGTAAGCCCCCTCTCTTGCGTTTCAGGCAGCTTGCCGTTTAGGAAGGCAGAAGGGAAATATTTATTAAAAACATATAATTTTTTCATACCCGAATAGGTGTTTCTCATACCCTGGTCTCATACATTTGTTCCAACCTTTCAGTGAAAATGGAAGTTGAGCGGAATCAAATAACTTGCTGAAATGCATAGAGCTAGCAAGTGGCAGAGGTAGTTGATACGCCAAAGTCAGTCTGACTCCAGCGCCCGAGATCCTGTACTGCTGACGCTCAGTGTGTGCACGTGTCCCTGTAAACAGGGCCCGGGCCTCTTCCCCTTTGTTACTCCAGTGGTGAGACCGGACAGTGGGGCCTCCCTGTTCCTTCTGTGCCCTCTTGGCCTCAGGAAAATATCCTTTGATATTTTTCTTTATTCTCAAGTTAATATTGGGGTAAAATTCAGAATTACCAATTACATATGTTCTAGAACTCTTATCCAAAAAAACAAAGGCCTTTGTTCCAGTCTGTCCTCAGGTTAGGTTTGCCAGACTTCACATATAAAAGAACAGGACACCTCGTTAAATTTGAATTTCAGGTAAAGAACAACTCATTTTTCTTTTTTTTAAGTACAAGTATGTCCCCCCAATTGCCTGGGAGGTACTCATCATAAAAAATTTCAGTGTTTATCTGAAATTCAAGTTTAACTGGACATGCTATATTTCATGTGGCAATTCTCCTCTAGAAGCCTGTAGTTAGAAAAATGCCTTGGGCTGGGCTTCCAGACAAGCCTGCATCACCCACATTTCCCCCCTTTAGTCCTGGCCTTCCTTCTGGGGAAACAAGTCGGAAGGAAGTTCTTCTTCACCAATGGTGCAAAGATGACCTTTGAAGAAGTGAAGGCTCTGTGCACCCAGTTCCAGGGCTCGGTGGCCACCCCCAGGAATGATGAAGAGAACAAGGCCATCCTGGACATCGCCAAAGGAGAGGCCTTCCTGGGCATCACAGATGTAGAGACTGAAGGTCGTTTTGTGGATCTGACAGGACAGAGCATTACCTACCAAAACTGGAATGATGGTGAGCCCAACAACGCTGCCTCTGGGGAACACTGTGTGATGAATCTGATGAAAAACAGCAAGTGGAACGACATCACCTGCTCAGCCTCCCTTTTGGCAGTTTGTGAGGTCTCTTTCTAAGGAAGTATGTCCCTCAGGCCCTCCTGGCCTCAACCTCAACTCAGGCCCACCTTTGCTTTAAAAATAAATCTATGCCAACCTTGCCATTCCCAGACTTGATTTGCCCCTTTGTGGGGAATCAGAGAAAATGAGAAGAATGGGCTGAAGGGCAGGATGTGCAGGTGAGAGGTGAGAAGAAAGTGGCAGGGGTGCAGTGGGAGTTTCTTATTCAGACCCAGTTGCTAATAATAATCACTAACAACAACAACAACAAAATCATAACAGTGGTGGTAAGTAGTAGCAGCCATACAAGTGCTGATAACCTATTTTTAATGTTTCTTAGGACTCAGACCCTATATTATGCATTATATACTTATAATCTATATTCTTCATACAATCTATGTAATATTAGTATAATTTATGTAATGTGATTTTTAATTAGGCTATGCACTTTTGTCCAGTGGTGTTAGCTTGCTAAGGTATTGTATGAAAATAAAGTGGATTTATTTTTTCACTTACCATAAACCCCAGTGTCCTACTGAGCCCTCCTTTCTCTCTGGGTAGAGAGCTCCACCAATGACAGCCCAGCCTAATTCCATGGCTTTGCGCTGGTCTCAGGTACGAAGAGGATCTATCCTGTTGCTTTCTTTCTGAAATATATCTTATTTTCTTTTAAATGAGCTACTAATCTATGTAAAGAATGTAAATATCAAGTGAACTAATAAATCAATTCTTCTAAGTACCTTCTGGGTCCAGATGGACCTTCTGGGTACATTTCTAGCATCCTAGAAGCCCCTTCATAACTCTCCTGGTTGATATTCACAAGGGAAAATCTACTCTGACCTCTGTTACCAAATATTAATTTTGTTGACTTACAAACTTTGCATAGATGGAATCATACATACATACTGTATTAGGTTCTGTTTTTTTATTCAAAATTAAGTCTGTGAAGTTCATTCATGTTGTTACATTGTAGTGACAGGCTTTTCATTTTCATTGCCAGGTAGGGTTCCACTATATGAATATACCTCAGTTCTATTTTTAATGAACTCTTGGTCTGCTTCCCAATTTGACCATTAAGAAAAAGCTGGTGAAAATGTCTGCACGCGTCTTCTGGTGGACACAAGCACTAATTTCTCCTGGTTACCCACCCAGGAGTAGAACTGGTGGGTCATGGGGTAAGCATGTGTTCAGCTTCAGTAGAAGCTGCCAGAGTTCCAAAGCGACCAGAAGGGTTTACACTGCCACCAGTCATGTGTGTCAGCTGTAGCTGCTCTGACTACTTGTGAGGAGTTGGTATTTTCAGTTCTTTTAATGTTGGCCATCCCTGTAGGTATCAAGTGATATTTCACAGTGGCTCTACCCTCTGTCTCCATGGCATGTAGTATGTTGAAGACGTTTTGATCAGCTTTTGGCTACTTGGATATCTTCCTTTGTCAAGTCTTTTTGTAATTTAATTAAAATAAGTAGTCAGTATCTTTCTATTTTTAATAGATTTTTTAAAAGATTTTATTTACTTTTAATGAGGGGAAGGGAGGAAGAGAGAGGGAAACATCACTGTGTGGTTGCCTTTTGAGCACTCCTTACTGGAGACCTGACCTACAACACAGGCATGTACCCTGACTGAGAATCGAACTGGCGACCCTTTGATTCAGAGGCTGGTGCTCCATCCACTGAGCCACACTAGCCAGGGCAACCATTATTTTTCTTATTGATTTGTAAAAGTTATTTTTATAGTTTGAATATAAGTCCTTTTTGCTTATATGTTTCACAAATAGTTTTCAAGTTTATGACTTGCTCCCAGTATTGAGTTTTGATGAACAGAGTTCTTAATTTTATCAAACTCCAAAGTATCAATATATTCCTTCAAATTTAGGACTTTTCTATATTCTGTTTATAAAATCTTTGCCTAGTACAAAATCATAAATATAATCTTACATTTTAATAGCTTATTGCTAAACCTTCTATTTATCCCTTTTATAAATCTACATGATACAGTAATACTATTGTTGGAAAGACAATTCTTATTCCACACCCATTGAATTAGATAGTACCTTTTTATAAATTGTGTATGTGTGCATCTATTTCTGGGCTTTTTATACTATTCTACCTGTTTAGTTGTTGATGTGTGTGCCAAATACTACATTATCTCAGTTACTATGCTATTAAAATACGAACTTATATGTGTTAGTGTATGTCTTCCAGCTTTGTTCTTCTTCAAGATTGCTTTGGCTTTCTTTAATTATTTGCATTCCCATATAAATTTTAGAACAAACTTTTCAATTCCCACAAAAGCCTGATCAGTTTCTATTGGGACTGCACTGATTCTTTTCATCAACTTATGCAGCAAAATTGATAACTAACTTGAGTCTCCAGTCAATGATCACAATATAATTCTTCTTTTAACTAGGATTTCTTTAATTTCTTTTGTGGTTGAAGTTTTTAATTTGGAGGTCTTACATATCTTGTTTTGGTGGTTTTAAAAATAAGATGATTTTAATAATTTTTGTTTTCTACTGTTCATAATTATTTCTACAGAAGTACAATTAATTTTTGTATATGATACTATTATCAGTAACTTCAATACATTCATTTCTTAATTCTAAAAATTTATAAATTCTCCCAGATGTTCTATATACACAGTAATGTAACCTGAAATTGTGGAGCTACTTTTTCCTTTCAAATTGTTTTTTTTTTCTTATTTTATTACACTAGTTATCAACCTTAATGCAGTATTGAACAGAACTAGTAAGCATCTTTACCTGGTTCATTAAGATGACTTCATTTTATTTAATTTATTAAGACAATCTTTACCTTATTAAAAGTTTCAAATTCTTATTTAACTCAACTCACTTCTCTTCCTACCTACCCCTTTGTGAGGTAGGTGAGCTTTTACGTGAGTGTAGAGTCTTCCTCTCTCTCACCCCATGCATGCTTTCTTGAATAGAGTTTATAGGTGTTGGGCTGAAAAGAGGGATGATGATTGTTAAAATAAATAGGTGTGCTGGCTCCCTGTTCTTTCTTTGTTCTTACCACTGCTGACTTTGCTCCTTGTCAGTGGATCCCCTATGGATGGATGGAGTCTCGAAGTAACTTGCTGAAGATGAGATCAATCCCAATTCCCCTTCGCATAGCTGTCCCCTCTGAGAATGTCCCATACCTGAAAGCTGCTCTACGTAGTCTTCAGGGACACTTAACCATGCCCCAAAATAATCTCAACACTCAAAGGAGTAATATTTGTTGACCTTGAGAAAATCCAAATCCCCCCAAAAGTGGTTCCTAGAGATGTGCTCAGTTACTTAAGTTGTGGCAGCACAGAATCTCCTCAGTGAAAGATTTTTAAGTCAACAGAAATTACTTGGAGAAATCTGAGCTGGTGGGTTTTGTTGAAAGAGAGTCAGATGTCCTGGCTAGTGTAGCTCACTGAATTGATTGAGCACAGGCTTGAAAACCAAAAGGTTGCCAGTTCAATTCTCAGTCAGGGCACCTTCCTGGGTTGAGGGCTAGGTCCCCAGTAGGGGGCACATGAGAGGAAACCACACATTAATGTTTCTCTTCCTTTCTTTCTCCCACCCTTCCCCTCTGTCTAAAAATAAATAAATAAAATATTTTAAAAAATAGAAAATCAGATCACTTCCTAATTTAGAAGTCAAATAATTGATAGAAACAATAAACATTTTATAATTTTAGTGACTTAGTTCCCAGGTCCAGTACCAATGGGTTGCTAAGGACACTTCTGCTATTGTCCTAAACTTCCAGAGAGCACCAGAGCAGCCATGGAAAATGGAAAGACAATGAAATGAAGTGTTTCAGAATATGAGTTCTCCAGTCAGGCCTATCCAAACTGGATTCACAGTTGTATCACTTACTGGCCATGTGGCATTGAATCAGTTACTTAACGTCTCTGAGTAGAGCCATTTATTTGCAACTGGGAGAAAATAATGACCCCTATTACATAAGAACTATTGAGACAATTAAATAAATTAGTACCTTTAAAGTGTTTAGTAGAGTGCCGGATGCTACAGGTTAAGTCTTAATCTACTCAGTCATACTTCTAAGTACATTTTTAAGTGAGATTATATGGTTGGCTATATGACAAATAACATTTATTGATTTTTGAAAATGAAACCTACCTTGCTGTCATGGACTAAAGTGCACTTGGTCACATTTCGTCCTTTGTATGCACCTGCAGGAATTAATCTTCAAATAGTTGAGAAAATTTGCAGTTATGTTTATGATACATATTTATGTATCATAATACCTTGCTGTAGGTTGTGGTACCAGTGCTATGGTAGCCTCATAAAATTAGCTGGTGTTCTCAGGTTTCCTATTCTCTGAAATAACGTGTGTAAGGTTATGCCTTAATGTTAGAGAACTTCACCCGTGAAGTCATCTTGGAATGAATGGTGTTTTCTTTCTGGAAAGATTTTTAATTTCCAATTTTATTTCCTTAAGATCTAGATTTATTCATTTTTCCTGTGTATTTCATGCAGTTTTCATAAATTGTGCTTTCTCAACAAATTTATCCATTTTATTTTATTTATTAAACATAGTGGCATAAAGTTGGGATTTAATTTACTGTTATTTTTCTTTTTCAGTTTTTTTATTGATTGATTATATTTTATTGATTATGCTATTACAGTTGTTTGAATTTTTCCCCCTTTGCCCTCCTTCACCTAGCACTCTGGACTCCCTCAGGCAGTCCCCACACCATTGTTCATGTCCATGGATCATGCATATAAGTTCTTTGGCTACTCCATTTTCTATACTGTACTTTACATCCCCAGGGCTATTCTGTAACTATGTATTTGTACTTCCTAATACCCTCACCACTTCACCCATTTCCCCACACCCACCTCCAATGTGGCTAACATCAAAACGCTCTCAGTATCCACAATTCTGTCTCTGTTCTTCTAATTGCTTAGTTTCTATTTTTTAGATTCAATTGTTGACAGATATATATGTATTGCCATCTTATTATTCATAGTTTTGATCTTCTTCTTTTTCTTATATAAGTCCTTTTAACATTTCAAATAATAATGGTTTGGTGATGATGAACTCCTTTAGTTTTTTTTCTTGTCTGAGAAGCTCTTTATCTGCCCTTTGATTCTAAATGATAGCTTTGTTGGTAGAGCAATTTTGGCTGTAGGTCTCTGTTTTTCATCACTGTAAATATTTCTTTCCAGTCCCTTCCAGCCTGCAAAGTTCTTATGAGAAATCAGCTGACAGTCTTATGAGAACTCCCCTGTAGTTAAACTAACTGCTTATTTCTTGCTTCCTTTAAGATTCTCTCTTTATCTTTAACCTTTGGCATTTTAATTATGAGTTGTCTTAAAGTGGGCTCCTTTGCATCTGTCTTGTTTAGGACTCTCTGTGCTGCCTAGACTTGCACATCTATTTCCTTCACAAAATTAGGGAAGTTTTCTTTAATTATATTTTCAAATAGATTTCCAATTTCTTGCTCTTTTTCTTCTCTTTCTGTTTCCCCTAAGATGCAAATGTTTGAATACTTTAAATTATCTTGAAAGCTGCTTACACTACCCTTGTTTTATTGGATTCTTTTTTCTTCTAATTGTTCTTATTGGTCGTTTTTTGCTTTCTTATGTTCCCAATCATCTCACTGATTTTCAACTTCATCTACTCTACTGCTGTTTCCCTATAAATTATTATTTATTTCAATAAGTGTATCCTTCATGTCTGACTCAAGCTTTTTTATGCTGTTGAGGGCCTCACTAAGTTCCTTGAACATCCTCACAAGCATTGTTTTGAATTCTGCATCTGATTGATTGCTTATCTCCATTTTGTTTAGTTCTTTTCCTGGAGTTTTGATCTGTTCTTTCATTTGGGCCATGTTTCTTTGTCTCCTCATTTTGGCAGCCTCCCTGTGTTTGTTTCTATGTATTAAGTAGAGCTTCTGTGATTCCCTATCTTGGTATCACCTAATGTAATAGGTGTCCTATAGGGTCCAGTGGCACAGCCTCCCCTATCACCCAAGCTGGGTACTCAAGGCACGCCCTTCATGTGGCCTGAGTATACCCTCCTCTTGTAGTTGAGCCTTGATTGCTGCTGGCAGGTCAGTGGGAGAGAATTACCCAGGTCGGTCAGCTGCAAGGGCTGGCTGTGACCACTGACCACCAAACTTAACCTTCTGTGGAGGATCAGCTGTCTGTGCAGGTGAAGGGTGACATGGTCTGTAGCTGTCCACTAGGTTGGCAGGCTCTGAGGTGTCCCAGGTGGTACAGGGTTAGGTTAGCCCCCACCTGTGTTCTTTGTGGGGCCACCCTGACTGAGCTACAAAGTAATCTGAGATGGCTGCTACTTACATTGGGGTTGGAGATCCCCAGGTCAAGCCAAGCTATGAATCTAGGGTGGCTGCTGCTAGTTTGAGACCTGGGGCCACTTAGTAAGAGGTATGGGGGTTGAGAGTTTACCGAGGCTTGCCTTTGCTTGTTTGATAGGATTCACAAAGTTGTGAAGCATGAGCCAAGACTACCCATTCATGTAGAAAAGTAATGGTTAACAGTTAGGGTGGGCCCATAATTTGGGACGTGGTCTCAGGGGATCTCCAGGACAAGTCAAACAGTGTTAGTCAGGTTGGTGGGATCTCAGACATGGCACCTGCCTGGAGGCTCTGTGGCTCTGGTTGGACAAGGCTCAGAAAAGTGACAAAGACCCATGTCTACCTTTCTGTTTGGGAAAAAGGTAGACAGAGACCATTTCTACCCCCAGAATTTCACCTTGATGCCAGATACATCACTTTCTCCCTTTATGTGACTGGTGCCTTTCAAGCTGCTACCCTGGTGCTGGAGTTCAGAGGGAGTGAGTCTGAATAAGTTTGTGTGGGAGTTCTTTAAGAGGAATGGCTTGGGACTCTAGAAGTTTCCTCTACTAACTCAATCTCTGCTGTTTTTTGCAGCCAGAAGTATGGGGAATTATTTATCTTCCTGGCACTGGAAACCTGGGTTGGGGGGCCTGTTTTGGGGCTGCAACTCCTTGTTCCCAGGATATCCCTACTGAATTTTTCTATTTCACATATGGATGTGGGACCAGCCCATTCCACATATCTGTCCCCCCTGGCACAGATGGATGTGGTTTCTTTAATTCTATAGTTGTCGGACTTCCATTCCACTACATTTCTTTTTTTTTTAATTTAAATTATTTTATTGTTGTTCAATTACAGTTGCCCATACATCAACTAGATTTCTGATGGTTCTGAATGATGGTTGTTGTATAGTTTAGCTCTAATTTTGATGTGGTTGTGTGAGGACCCGAGCCATATTTACCTACCTATTGTTCTTTTTCTAACTCTCTTTTAACTGACATTTAGATAACTGATTTTCTGTCTTTATTCTTTTCTAATGTATTCATTAAAAGCTATAAATTTACATGTAAAAACAGTTTTGGCTGCATTCCACAGGTTTTGATAACATTTAGCTTTTGTTACCATCATTCA